CAGTGTTTGCTTTAGTTGGGCTCTTGACCAATTCAGAATTTTGGACATTGGGGCTCATTTTCAAGTGAGCTTTAGTGTTATTTATCAGTGGAGACAGTTTTTAAAAAAAAATCGTCCAGTTGTCCAGATGCATAGTTCGCCAGTGCTAGGCTAGTGCGAGTCAATCGTAACTTTTAGCATGCCATTAAAAAGAGTTTTAACCACTTCACAGTACACCAAAAGCAAATCAATTATAAAGCCAGACTATTGATGTAAGTTTCTGTTGAGAGAATAATGTTAGAAATCAAACTATTCTTTAATCGCATTGCAATAGTTATATTGTTTTACCTATATTTATTAGCACAGTCAGGGCCGTACTGGGACTGAAATTCAGCCCGGGACTTTAAGATGGAGAGGCCTTTTACGCGAGTACCCTTGGTGCACGAGCAGAAGGATTTTTTTGCAGTTATTTTAATTCTAATAGTGTTTTTATGGTATAAAGAGAATCAGATTATGCTGAAAACCTTCAAGAAACTTTAGGATGACACCTGCCTCCTCAGGTTGTATAAGCAAGTCGCCACTGCACTGAACACAACCAGGTCAGCAAATCCTAATCTCGAACACATAAGTCACAGTATACTGCTAACTACCAGCATGTCATGTGCACAGTCAGTTGGAGTGATAAAATAGTTGCAAATACTCAAAAACTACAATGCAGTCCCATAAAATAGAGATTTGTGTGTGTGTGTGTGTGTGTGTGTGTGTGTGTGTGTGTGTGTGTGTGTGTGTGTCCTTACTTTCTCAGCTTGGCTCCCTGGCTTAGCTTCCCCTGTGATGGACCCTGCCTCTGCTTACTGATTTGCAGCTACATATGCATGAGAAGAACTTCAGTTATAAATATGACTAAGAATAAAACATTTTCTAATTCAATCTGTGCTTCAGTCAGGTTATTATCTAGTATGTGGAATTATTGCCATTTTAACCTATATGTAAATATCTGATTGATTAATTTTCCTAATATGATTGCCTACCCAGCCCTGCACTGCCCCTGTACCTGTCACTGTTTTTATACTGGCTCCATTCTTCTCCTCCTGCTCTTCTTTCTCTTGCTGCTCTCCTTCCTCCTGCTCCTCCTCCTTCTCTCCCTCATCATCAATACGACTGCAGGGGTCATCCTCAACCTGTCCCTCTCCATCACTGACCTTAACAGCTAATATACATACAGAGATTACTTATAGAAGGATGTTGTCTGTGTGTGATGACACACTGCAAACTGCTCTTTATAATATATAATATATCTCTAAACATGTGAGGGATACATGGCTATAACATGATAACAGCACATTTTTATTACATGGCTAATAAATCAATAATTTGACACAATTATACATACAGCTAATATATGTATGTACAATTATACATACAGCTAATATACATACAGAGATTACTTGCTTATAGAAGGATGTTGTCTGTGTGATGACACACTGCAAACTGCTGTTTATATATATATATATATATATCTAAAATGTAAGGGACACATGGCTATAACATGATAACAGCACATTTTTATTTCATGGCTATCTACCAAATAAATCAATAATTTCACACACAATATTGATTTAAAAATGAGTTTACTGTTTTAAAAACTATTGTATTGCTTCCGCTAAAGAAAATAGTTCTGTCTATACGGTTAGAATCCTGCGTGTCCATGGCAACGCGCGGCCTGTTATCAAGCAATCCCTTGTGAAAAAAAAGTGCACTTTAGTGTACTTTTATAAAGTGTACTTATTACAAAAATAATACACTTTAAATGTATACACTTAAGTGCGATTTAAAAACAATTTTTTCGGGGTACTGAATGCACATTAAGTGTAATTTATTTCAAATATATCACATATTAAGTTGAAATAAAGTGTAATAAGTTGCAATCAAGTGTGATTTTTTGGAACAACTTAATTGTTACTTTAATACAACTTTATATATACTTTCATAATTGCTTCTAGTGTATTTAAATTATAGTTAAAGTGCACTAAACAATATGATGACACACAATTAATGTGATTAAAAATATACTTTGAAGTCAGTCAACAATGCACTTAAGTGTGAATTAAATACAATTTTTTCGGGGCACTGAATGCACATTAAGTGTAATTTATTTCAGATCACATATTAAGTTGAAATAAAGTGTATTAAGTTGCCATTAAGAGTGATTTTTTGGAACAACTTAATTGGTACTTTAATACAACTTTACATACACTCTCACAATTGCTTCCAGTGTATTTAAAATACAGTTAAAGTGCACTACACAATATAATGATGCAATTAATGTGAACTAAAATATACTTTAATGACAGTCAACAATACACTTAAGTGTGAATTAAGTGTAATGTTTTTGACAAACTTAATGCATATTATGTGTAATTGATTTCAAATGTATCACAGATTAAGCTCAAATTAAATGCTATTAGTTGATATTAAGAGTTATTTTTGAAATATGGTAAAAGTGTACTTCCAAATATACTGACAAGCAAATAATGTCAACAAAAATATACTTTAATTATATAATAGTGTACTTGTTTATTACATTAAATACATTTTTTAATTAAAAAAAATATAGTTGCAATTTATTTCAAATTTGGACAAAAAAAGTCTTAATAACCTATATACACTCACCGGCCACTTTATTAGGTACACCTGTCCAACTGCTCGTTAACACTTAATTTCTAAGCAGCCAATCACATGGCGGCAACTCAGTGCATTTAGGCATGTAGACATGGTCAAGACAATCTCCTGCAGTTCAAACCGAGCATCAGTATGGGGAAGAAAGGTGATTTGAGTGACTTTGAACGTGGCATGATTGTTGGTGCCAGAAGGGCTGGTCTGAGTATTTCAGAAACTGCTAATCTACTGGGATTTTCACGCACAACCATCTCTAGGGTTTACAGAGAATGGTCCGAAAAAGAAAAAACATCCAGTGAGCGGCAGTTCTGTGGGCGGAAATGCCTTGTTGATGCCAGAGGTCAGAGGAGAATGGCCAGACTGGTTCGAGCTGATAGAAGGGCAACAGTGACTCAAATAACCACCCGTTACAACCAAGGTGGGCAGAAGAGCATCTCTGAACGCACAGTACGTCGAACTTTGAGGCAGATGGGCTACAGCAGCAGAAGACCACACCGGGTGCCACTCCTTTCAGCTAAGAACAGGAAACTGAGGCTACAATTTGCACAAGCTCATCGAAATTGGACAATAGAAGATTGGAAAAACGTTGCCTGGTCTGATGAGTCTCGATTTCTGCTGCGACATTCGGATGGTAGGGTCAGAATTTGGCGTCTACAACATGAAAGCATGGATCCATCCTGCCTTGTATCAACGGTTCAGGCTGGTGGTGGTGGTGTCATGGTGCGGGGAATATTTTCTTGGCACTCTTTGGGCCCCTTGGTACCAATTGAGCATCGTTGCAACGCCACAGCCTACCTGAGTATTGTTGCTGACCATGTCCATCCCTTTATGACCACAATGTACCCAACTTCTGATGGCTACTTTCAGCAGGATAATGCGCCATGTCATAAAGCTGGAATCATCTCAGACTGGTTTCTTGAACATGACAATGAGTTCACTGTACTCAAATGGCCTCCACAGTCACCAGATCTCAATCCAATAGAGCATCTTTGGGATGTGGTGGAACGGGAGATTCGCATCATGGATGTGCAGCCGACAAATCTGCGGCAACTGTGTGATGCCATCATGTCAATATGGACCAAACTCCCTGAGGAATGCTTCCAGCACCTTGTTGAATCTATGCCACGAAGAATTGAGGCAGTTCTGAAGGCAAAAGGGGGTCCAACCCGTTACTAGCATGGGGTACCTAATAAAGTGGCCGGTGAGTGTAGTTAATCAACACAAATTCAATATAAAACCCTCTATATTTACTGACAAAACAATCTCTAAAATAAATACATAAAAACCTTTCTGTTGATGCACAAGAAAAAACCCAAGAAACAAACGGTTACAATACTTAAAATGAAAATTCTGTCATTATACGCACCTTCGAGTTGTTTCAAACCTGTATGAATTTTTCTTCTGCTGAACACAATGAAGATATTTTGAAAAATGTCAGTAACCAAAGAGTTAACTGGTCCCATTGACTTCCATGGTATTTTGTTTCCTACTATGGAAGCCAATGGGACCAGTTAACTGTTTGGTTACTGACATTTTTCAAAATATCTTCATTGTGTTCAGCAGAAGAAAGAAAGGTAACACTTAACTGCACACTATTATTCATTATAAGCATGAGTTAACAGTTAATCATTTAAAGCATTAATAGACGTTGATAATAAGTTTCTAAATACAGCAATACATGTTTTTTTCTTGATTTATAAGCATATCTATAATGTGTTTAATAATTGTAGTTTCATACTTTGTTAATGATCAATTAATAATTTCTTAATGAAGTATAGCATTATTTACAAACCAGTTATTTAAGAGTTGTCAGTGATTCATAAGATCACTTAAATGTAAGTTGAGGGTGAGTATATGATGACAGAATTTTAGACATTTTCAGAAAACATAATTCTGTATGATTTATAAGATTGTTTCCATGTAAATTACTGGTTTTACTATACTGTTGGGGTAATTTGGTCTCCATAACCTAGGGATTACCAGTACAAACATCATTTTAGAAGCAAACACACATTACATCAAATACACAACCCATGAATTAATACAAACAAAATGTGATGTTGCAAAATGTGAACACTAAGATTCAAACGGGTAATGAAAAAGGTATTATTAGTTAACTCCTTCAGTTAACATGAACTAAGAATGAATAATACTTGAAGCATTTGTTAGCCTTAGTTAATGTTAATTTCAACATTAAATAATGCATTATTATATTCAAAAGTTGTGTACTAAAATTATATAAATATTATAAATTGTTCTAACTTTAACAAACTATATTTGAATTAACTAATCTTAAAAAAGATTAATAAATACTGTAAAAAATGCTCATTTTTTAGATCATGTTTTGCTAATACATAAACTAATATTAACAAATGAAACCTAATTAAAGTGTTAACAAACCTGGTTAATTTTAGCTCTTAAACCTTTTCGTAGCACCAACATTAAAGAGGACAAAATGCTTACTTCAGCATTACAGTGAATATAATTTTGTCTAAAAAATAAAAATAAAATAAAAATGAAGAAATCCAAAGGCAAAGAAACAAGAAAACCAAAATCATTTGTCACCAAATGTTTTGAAGTAGTTGGAAAGTCCTGTTTATGTCAATGTCCCGGTGCTCTCCAGTTAATGTGAATGGATTTTTTCCAAAGAGGCAGGAAAGTCAGGAAAAAATACCTTGAGAAAAAAAAAGTGAAAAAATTTGTTTATAAAACAGATCCAGTCCATTATTAAATTTGGCTCAAATGAATAAAAGTGATAGATATTTTCCCTTTAAAGTTTTACATACACCTTGCAGTATCAGCAAAATGTTAGTAATTTTAGCAATAAGAGGGAACACAAAAATGTATATGTTGTCTTTTTGTTTAGTACTCTGATGAAGCAGTTTATTCTGCAAGGTGTACGTAAAGTTTTGACTGCTAACGTTAACTGTTGATGAATGTGTGATGTGATGAATTACCTCATCAGCGTCACACATAATTTATTGTAAACATGATCAATTTAGCTCCTGAATCTATATTGCGTATAGCAAAGTTACTATCTGCGATTAAAAAGCACTCATCGCAATATCAACTGCGGTGAAAAAAAATCAATAAGGAAAGCATCAAGATATACTTACTTGACTAATTATTTGCAGTATAACTACTCATCTGCAAACAGCCAAACGTGGCGCTCCTTTTGTTCTCTTGTTTTCATTTCCTCATGCATCGCGATTACAGAAACACAACAGCGCATTTTTCAAACTCTAGGGAAGTAGTGCGTCATCATGACGTCTGGCGCATGCGCATTAAACACCGTGTTCATATACAGTATATTTTTATTTCAACTTTTCGGTTTAAGTTGAAGTTGTTCTAACTTTGTGTTGTTATACTCTGTAAGTTCACAAAACGCTACTCTTTCAACCAACTAAAAGTCAATATTTTTGTTCAGTGTAGATTGCAATTAAATGTGTTTAATTGACTTTCTCACTTATGTAAAGTACCACACATTACTGTTATGCTAAGACTCCTCTCATAAATTACATTTTATTGTCATATATTATGTAGAAAACTGACAAAAATGTCAACAATAAGTTGTCCTGGATTATACTGTATTGAAAATTTATTGGAAAAACACATTCCAAGTGCATTAATGCACACAGTCGATATATTCTAGATTAAACACATTTAAAATAAATGAACTAATTGTTTTTGGACAACACACTTGAGTTGAAATTAAAATGAATTACTTTCCATGTTTTCCATTAAAATTATTATTTTATTTAGTATATTAGTCAATTCATCAAAATACATTTCATTTAATAACTTTAATAAGTAGACACAATTAAAAAGGGAATTTTTTAAAACATGCACTTAAGTGTGATTAGAAATATTAACATGAAAGTGTACTTTCTTTAACTAAAACGTCTCGGTTACGTATGTAACCCTCGTTCCCTGAGTAGGGAACGGAGACGTTACGTCAGAAGTGACGGAGATTGGGGGTTTCGCATAGAAAGCCAATCCTCTTCGAGTATTTAAACACGAGCCAATGGCATGCAATGCCTTGGGGCTGCGGAAATTTGCATAGCGTACTCCGCCCTACTCCGTGAGTATAAAAGGAGGAAGTGAACGCAACCGCAGTATGTCTTCGCTGAGGAGCCAAGACTGAACTCGGCATCTACCCAGCGATACAGCAGAAGTGGCAGGGAGACGTAACGTCTCCGTTCCCTACTCAGGGAACGAGGGTTACATACGTAACCGAGACGTTCCCTTTCGTAGTCACTTCGAGTTACGTCAGAAGTGACGGAGATTGGGGGTCTGTGCCATCACGCCAACTTCAGGCTGTCTTCCAGTGCCCTGCGAAAGTCTGAACCCCCGAGCCTTACCTGTTTTCCTTAGGGGATCCGACTTAGACACAGGATTACCAAGGTACACTGGGAAACATATCCCGAAGGGGACATGCTACCAGCTGCCTACCGAAGGGAGGACTTACGAATACACATATGGCCACATAGGAACACATATGGAATCACTGGAGCACCAACCGCAGGTGGCTGCTAATTTCAGCTCCAGGGGTGGCAGATGGCTTGCCAAGGGAAGACACATGCTCAGAGAGGCTTACAGTGGATAATACACATGAGACGGTTACCAAGGGGGAACCGTACGCATGGAGGCACCTAGCCAGCATCCAGAGCCACAGCAGTGGTGCCCGCATCGTCGGTGCTGGAGGACTCAAGGCTTCAATGGAAGAACTGAGGAAATATCGCACTTATCCAGTCCGGGGAGTGGAGTGGCGAGCAAGCGAAGACACCTGAGCGGATCCAGAACTGGCCGAAACGAGACGTGAGAGGATACCGGCTCAATTCGCAGATTATAGAATCTGGCGAAGGTGTTGGGTGTCGCCCAGCCTGCAGCTCTGCAGATGTCTGTTAGCGAGGCGCCGTGCGCTAAAGCCCAAGAGGAGGCCACACTCCGAGTGGAATGGGCCGTCACACCAAGGGGGCACGGAAGGCCTTGCTGCTGGTAAGACAAAGCAATGGCATCCACAATCCAGTGGGACAGCCGTTGCTTTGAGAGAGCCCTTCCCTTCTGGCTCCCTCCATGACAGACAAAGAGCTGGTCTGAGGTCCTGAAACACTGCGTTCTGTCGACATAGGTGCGGAGAGCACGTACCGGACAGAGCAGTGCCAAGGCTGGGTCTGCCTCCTCCGGGGGCAGCGCTTGCAGGTTCACCACCTGGTCCCGGAAGGGAGTGGTGGGAACCTTGGGCACATATCCAGGCCGGGGTCTCAGGATCACGTGAGAGTAAGCCGGCCCGAACTCCAGGCACACTTCGTCAACGGAGAATGCGTGCAGGTCCCCCACCCTCTTGATGGAGGCCAATGCAACCAGGAGTGCTGTCTTCATGGACAGAAACTTTAACTCTACCGATTGCAAAGGCTCAACGGGATGCCTCTGCAGAGCACTTAAAACTACCGAGAGGTCCCAAGAGGGTACGAGGGGAGGACGAGGCGGATGCAGCCTCCTCGCTCCCCTCAGGAACCTGATGACCAGGTCGTGCTTCCCTAAGGACTTACCTTCCACTGCTTCATGAGAAGCGGCAATGGCCGCGACGTAAACCTTAAGGGTGGAGGGCGACAGCCTGCGCTCCAACCCTTCTTGCAGGAAGGAAAGCACGACACTGATCGAACATCTCCGGGGGTCTTCTCCGCGAGAAGAGCACCAATTGACGAAGAGGTTCCACTTCAACGCATAAAGGTGTCTCGTGGACGACGCTCTTGCGGAAGTGATGGTTGCCGCCACCGCAGGTGGCAGCGAACTCAAACCTGCCTCGTGCCGTCCAGGAGCCACACGTGCAGCCTCCAAAGATCGGGACGAGGGTGCCACAGAGTGCCCCGTCTCTGAGAGAGTAGGTCTTGTCTCAGAGGAATAGGCCAAGGAGGTGCTGTCGCGAGGAGCAAGAGATCGGAGAACCACGTCTTGGTGGGCCAGTAGGGGGCTACCAGCAAGACCTGCTCCTCGTCCTCCTTGATCTTGCACAACACCCGTGCAAGGAGGCTCACTGGGGGAAACGCATACTTGCGTGGGCCCCGTGGCCAGCTGTGCGCCAGCGCATCCGAGCCGAGAGTGCCGCGGGTCAGAGAATAAAACTGGGCGCAGTGGGACGAGTCCCGAGAGGCGAACAGGTCTATCTGTGCCTCCCCGAACTCGTCCCAAATCAGCTGGACCGACTGGGGATGGAGTCGCCATTCGCCGGAGATGGGGCGGACCCGGGACAGCTCGTCGGCTGCCCAGTTCCGGTCTCCAGGAATGTAAACTGCACGAAGGGACCTCAGGTGCTTCTGACTCCATATCAAGAGGTGGCGGGCGAGCTGCGACAACTGGCGTGAGCGTAGACCCCCCTGGTGGTTGATGTACGCTACTGCCGTAGTGTTGTCTGAGCGGACAAGCACATGCTGGCCCTTGAGCAACGCTCGGAAGCGGTGTAGGGCGAGCCGTACTGCCAACAGCTCGAGGCAATTGATGTGCATGAGGCGCTGGGCTCCTGTCCAGGAACCGGCGGCTGCATGCCCATTGCACATGGCACCCCAACCCGTGGTAGATGCATCCGTGGAGACAACGAGATGCCTGGAAACTCGCTGAATAGGGACGCCGGTCCGTAAGAAGCTGAGGTTCGACCACGGGAAGAAGGTTCGGCGGCACGCTGGAGTCACTGGAACTCGGAGCGAGCCGCGATGCCATGCCCACCTCGGGACTCGATCGCGAAGCCACAGCTGAAGCGGTCTCATATGAAGCAAACCGAGCGGCGTTGCCGCGGATGCCATATGCCCCAGGAGCCTCTGAAATAGTTTCAGTGGAACCGCACTCTTGCCCTCGAACTGTCGAAGACAAGTCAGCAGTGAGTGCGCGCGCTCGTTCGTGAGCTGCGCGGACATGGCGACCGAGTCTATCTCCATGCCGAGAAAAGAGATCCTCTGCACGGGGCAAAGTTTGCTCTTTTCCCGGTTGACCCGAAGGCCCAAACGGGCTAGGTGCCGGAGCACCAAGTCTCAGTGTTCGCAAAGCTGAGCTCGAGAGTGTGCTAGTATCAGCCAGTCGTCGAGATAATTCAGGATGCGAACCCCGTGTTCGCGAAGGGGAACAAGGGCTGCCTCGACGATCTTCGTGAAGACGCGAGGGGACAGAGCTAACCCGAAAGGGAGAACGGCGTACTGATATGCCTGGCCCTCGAAGGCAAACCGAAGAAACGGTCTGTGTCGAGGTAAGATGGACACATGGAAGTACGCGTCCTTCAGGTCGATCGCTGCAAACCAATCCTGATACCGAACACATTCGAAAATGCGTTTGGCCGTGAGCATTTTGAACGGTAGTCGATGGAGAGAACGGTTCAAAATGCGCAGGTCCAGGATCGGTCGTAACCCACCGGTCTTCTTGGGGACAATGAAGTAGGGGCTGTAAAACCCGGACTCCACCTCGGCTGGAGGGACCGTCTCGATTGCACCCTTCGCCAGCAGGGTCGCAATCTCCGCTCTCAGGAGTGGGGCATTGCCACCAACTATCGTGGAGCGAACTCCCCTGAAGCGGGGAGGAGACCGTGCGAACTGAATCGCGTAGCCGAATCTGATCGTTCTGATGACCCAGCGGGATATCCCGGGAAGCACTAGCCAGGCTTCCAGGAAGTGAGCCAACGGGGTCATGTGAACCACAGACGTCCCCCCGGAGGGGCAGCGTGGCGGGTCGACTGGCACGCGTGCAGGGATGACCCCGCTCGGATGCGTCGAAGCCCGCTCCCCGACGGAAGGGACCAGGGAAAGCGGAGCGTTCCACGGGGGTCCGTTCCGCCGGGGGTCTGGCGACAGAGGGGGAAGGGATTGGCGTAGCCCGGGGACGACACTCGCACCCTTCCGCACCCTCAGAGACAGAGAGGAATGTGTGGGCTGACGCACTGGAACGTCGAGCGCACTCATTCCAGTCTGTGGGCTCAGTGATGATGTCAAGTCTTTCTTAACCAACTCAGGGCGCTGCCCACCCGTGGGCGAGCAGCGGGAACTGAAAACGAAAGATTTTCCCCCCGGCCCTCCACCGGGGGCAGGAGGGGGCCTGCTCCCGCCTCCTGGGGAAAAACTCAACTCCATCACTGAGCAGCCCGTATCAGGATCATCGCTTACCTGGCGTTTAGCGGGGTGTGCGGCCTGAGGGGGCTGTGACGCCTGCCGGCGGCCTCCTCCACGCCGTGGCCCGGATGAAGGCTGCTGCTGGGGCGGGGCGGGAGGCAGGGGAGCCGCGGGGGGGCGTCCTCGGCGGCGAGCAGCGGGAGGCATCTGTGCCGACGACTGGGTGGAGGCAGCAGCTGGTCGTCGGGGCAGAACATGTTTGATTGCCTCCGTCTGCTCCTGGGCAGTGGAGACTGCTGGCAAGAGTTCTCGACTGCACCGCCAAAAAGGCCAACCTGGGAGAGAAGGGCGTCGAGCAGACGAATCCGCTCAGCGCTCCGAGTGTCTGCCAGGTTTGACGCTCCTGGACCACACTAGTGGCCATCACCTGACCAACGGCGCGAGCGGCCACTTTCGTTGCCCTTTTGGAGAGCAAGGTCAGTGGCGGACCGCAAATCTTCGAATGCCGTTGGATCAGTCCCGCCCTCGAGCATATCTCTGAGCATCTGCGCTTGCACAGTGCTCATCGCATGCAAAGAGGAGGCCGCCCGTCCCGCCGCTCTACAGGAAC